CGCTTTGGCCACCATGTACCCCATCATGTCCATGTTCTTCTGGCCACACTCTACCTCCTCGTGCCACCTGCACTCAATCCTCTTGTCTATGGGGTGAAGACTCAGCAGATCCGCCAGCGAGTACTCAGGGTATTCTCCCTAAAAGGATGGATCTGAACATGTCCCAGTTATTATTTTCTGAGGCTCCTGTCAAAGGTACTGCCTGGAGTCCATGGCTGTCTAAGCTATGTGGGTAGAGACTATTGCACAGTGAGGGGTCCTTCCAGTCCTGCTATCTCATGGCAGAGAACATCCCTGGGCACTTGGCTTGGACTGTTTGGACTCCCTGAATAGCTGGATTTTTAATTATTTTATCTTTTCTTTTGCTTCTGATTCTAACATTTCTCTATTCCTCTATCAAGGGAACTTGAGAAGTGGAGAAAAGATATATCTTTGGACATGCCATTTTTTTCTGCCTTCACCCAGTGATTGTGGAACATCATCAAGTAAGGGAATGGGAAGTCCCAGCCTCTTCTTTGTTTTAGTTTTAGAGTGTCTTCACACCCTCAATGTTATTGCTATGAGCTCTAGGTCACTCAGCTTCCATGTAGCAACAGAGTCTGTCTCTAACCATTTGATACTCCCAATATGTCAGAAAACACCTTTTTATTACAGTATGACTCTTACTCACATATTTAAATTAACCTAAGTGGGGAGACATGGTAATGGGTTCTTAGAAAAATCAGATACAAACACTATTTTCAAGGAAGAAATGTATATTGTAGAGTGCATTTCTTTTTAAAAAGGTCAGTATTTTTTATTTATTCATATTTTTTATTAGGGTAAAGAAGGAATAAGACCAGTATTGAATGTATGTATGTTTTGTAAGTCTTAATTTAACAAAGCTAAACACCCATATATTAATATTATTTAATAACTACAAAATGTGCTAGAGTCTGATACTGGTAAACATAGCTTTATTAATACATGTAGATGTAGTTTTGGCACTTGAAAGAATTTCTATTTCTGAAATGTGGATATGGAATGATGTCAGTTAGACCCCCGTCCCCACCTTTTTGGTAACAGGAACTGGGTAAAACTTATGAGAAGCTTGTTACAATTGGTGTATTGCATCCTGTTTGTTGGGTGTTGCCCTAAAATCTGGCTTAACTCTTTTGTGTTCCTAAAAGGCAGCACATTTTGTTCTGTTCTGGAGGAAGCAAGTCACTGCTGCTTTGAGGTTGGATGCTCTGGTGTTGAGAGGGCTCTATCAATGGACTCCATAGTGGTCAAAAGGGGGGGAATGGATGAGTTAGTGTTCCAGTTTCTCCTTTCTTGGTAAATTTCACTCCTAATAGTTTTCAGGTACAGAGACTTGAGTATGAAGTCTTCAGTTTGGTGCACACACATGGGTGAATTAGGGAGGAATTGTATGAGTTCTTATTGTAGGAACAATTACGTGTTCTCATCACGTTGGTTGTAGGCGCAGGACTGGAACTCTGGTGAGTTGTCCTGAGGAAACCCAGGCTGTGGTGTATGTTGTATCCCATTCACTAGAAAACAACTATGTTGGCTCTAGAGGTACTTTGTTTAGGTACTTTGTTTACTTTGTTTTATTCAAAGTAGCTGTTTGTTCTCTCATCCCATTTACACTATTTGTGGATTTTTGGGATGTGGGTATGATGGTGGGATCTGAAGAGCTTCTTGGGTCACAGGATGGAAACATGTACTGAAGATGGCAGAACAACACTGTAGAAGAGCCTGTGTTCCCAATGCTCTCTGGGCCACCAACCCTGACTTAAACCTGAGATAGAAACTTGTATCTGGATTAAACCCCACTATATTTTTGGAGAATCTTTTTGGTGGTGACTAACCTATAGACCAAAAAGTAGATTTTTTTTTTTTAAATCTCAGATCATCTAAATGGGATATGTATTATGCTTGAAGGATGTCTTTTAGAATTTCCTTTTGAAAGATTTTAAACCTTTTTTTGGCCTAAATATCTGTTTGTTTACTGTCATTGAAGTTTACTATCAGAAAATATTCATATCATATCTTATTGTTTTATTTTCTACTGTGGTTATAGTGTATCCCCTATTTTATCCCTGGCAGTGTTTATTTGTGCCTTCCCTGATTTCCTTGCTCATCTGTGCCAAACATTTATCAATATTATGAAAATATTTAAATGTTTAGACTCATAGCCATTCAGCTTAATGTTAGCACTGGCTTTTTGGATTTAGCTTTCTTGTCACATATTGTGCAGAAAAGACTGTACTGACACAGCTGCCCTGGCAATACAAGAACAATTCCCTCATCAGTTCACTAAAGGATTGTTTTCAATTTCTAAAATTTCAATTTATCAGTTCTATTGATTCCAAGCTTGTGTTATTTCTTGAATCTCTTAATAAGTACAATTCTCAGGTCTGTATCAAGCTGTAACCCATTCCTTTTCCTAACTCATAAGTCTACTCTCCACACATACATACCTACACTGGTTTGCAGATTTCTTCATTCTCGTGTTTATAAAGTTAATACAATCTGACTTAAAAGTTCCAGAAATATTTGAAAGTGTATGATCCAACCCTAGAACAATTCCCCAAATTCTAGTAATTTTATTGAATTATTCTTACTTTTGTGTCTTTTTAGTCATTAGATTTCAAACTACATCACAGAGCTAACCGACTGCGCCACCCAGGCGCCCCGAGAGCTATAGTAATCAAAACAATATGGTATTGGCATAAAAACTGACACATAGATCAGTGGAACAGATCAGAGTTCCTAGAAATAAACTCATGCATATATATATAATTTAATTATAATAAAGTAGTCACAAATATGCAATGGTAGAAGGATAATGTCTTCAATATATAATGTTGGGAGCACTGGATATTCCCATGTGGGAGAATGAAACTGGATCCCTATCTTACACCATACACAATAATCAACTCAAAATGGATTAAAGACCATTTAGGTCTGAATGTAAAACCTGAAACCATGAAACTCCCAGAAGGAGACATAGGGGGTAAACTTTTTGACATCAGTCTTCATAAAGGATTTGTGGATTTGACACCTTAAGAAAAAGCATCCAAGGCCAAAATAAACAAGTTGTAGAACATTAGACTAACTAAAAATCTTCTGTATAGCAAGAAAGCCATCAACAAAATGAAAGGACAATCTATAGAATTATAGAAAATATTTGCAAATCATGTATCTGATGATGGGTTAATATCCAAATTATATGAAGATCTTATATGACTTAATAGCAAAAAACCAAACAGTCCAATTGTAAGTGGGCAGAGGTACTGAATAGACATTTTTCCAAAAAAGTTATACAAATGTCCAACAGGTACATGAAAAGGAGCTCAGCATCGCTGATCATCAGGGAAATGCAAATCAAAACCACGATGAGCTATCACCTCATATCTATTAAAATGGCTATCACCAAGAAGACAAGAGATAACAAGTGTTGGCAAGGATGTGGAGAAAAGAAACTCTTGTGGACTGTTAGTGGGAATGTAAATTGGTGCAGCTACTGTGGAAAGCAACATAGAGGTTCCTCAAAACAATAAAAGTAGAACTGCCATATATTTCAGCAATCCCACTTCTAGGTATATTCAAAGGAAGTGAAATCACTATCTCAAAGAGATATCTGCATCCTTAGGTTACATGTGCAGCATATTTTATAATAGCCAAGAAATGGAAATAGCCTAAGTGTTCCTCAACAGATAAATAAATAACAAAAATGTGAGATATATAGTGTTATATATGTGTGTGTGCGTGTGTGTGTGCGTGTGTGAGACATGGTATATTACTGTAGTACATATATTGTGGTATACACATATATGTATATATATTGTGATGTATGTATATATTGTGAATGAATAACAAAAATGTGATATATATACATAGTTGTATATATACCCACACAATAGAGTAATATTCAGCCATAAAAAAGGAAATCAGTCATTTCCAACAACATGGATGGAAGTTGAGGGCATTATGCAAAGTGAAATATGTCACTGAAAGACAAATACTGTATGTAAAATCTGAAAAAAACAAAACTCAGAAACGAGAACAAATTGGTGATTTCCACAGGTAGGATTTGGGGGTGGGTATAAAAAAGTATGATAACTTTGAGGGGAGGGGGGAGTAAATCATGTTGTCAGTCCAATATCTTGAATCAGAACTATTACAATTTCAGTGTAATTTTGTAACATTACTTGTGTTGTGTATATCCCATGTTAGACTAGACTCCAATTTACTTTTCAACTCCAAGTGTCTGACCTACTCCTCAGCATAACAAACATCCTCAATAATTATTTGTGATACTAGATTCAACCAGTGCACAAACTTCACACAGTGAATTTTTTTCCTTTTATTAATTTTTTATGTGATTTTCTCTTTAGGACTAGTGGGACAGATTTTCCATCCAAGAATTAGCTGCTCCTCACCTGAGAGAAACAGAGTGCCTCCCTGAGAGGAGAAAGCTCAGGAGTGCTGTTAAAGATGGAAAATGCAGATTTCTCACTGTTTATCCCCTCTGCATTCCTAGCAGTGGAGAATGCCCACAAGGAATTAAAGAGGGATTAAAGTGAGAATAGTTAGGACCTAATAAATGTCATATGCTTGGCTCTCTGGTAAGTCATGATTAGAAAATGAAGGTGAGATCTGAGGACAAAAAGGAGGCCATCAATTTCATTCCCTAAATTTTAGGTCCTAACACTCCAACCACTCCCTCCCTTTGCTCAGATATGGTGAGATTTTATTTGAAAATTTGGTTCCAATGCAAATACCCAGTAATTTGCAAGGAGGATTGTAGACTCTCCATAAATTGGATGAAGCCATAGCAGAATGTAAAATGCAAAAAGAATGGTTGCTTTCAGAATTCTGTCCATGAAAGACATCATAAGCTCTATCCAGGTGAATTTATGATACTTGGATACAAAACAAAAGAGAGTCCACTGCTGTACTTACAGATCCTCCAGGTTGGCAGTAAAACAGACAGAACATATTTCCTATGTTTGAGATGCATGAACTCCACCCACTGCTCCCAACCATTCCTGTCCAATTGTATTGGTGATCCTTCTTCCCATATGGAAAAGAAAACAAGGGAGAGGAGAGGGGGAAAGATAGAGCAGGAACTTTCACTCTTATTACTTCCGTCTTGTGATGCGAGG